AAAAGTTGTCCGGCAACAGTTGCTTTCGATAATTTTGTGTTACGGGATCGAATCCTCTCATAGCGATGAAATAAAATTTTTAAAAAATTAATTAATTTTGCTCATTCAATAATAAAAATATACGATTTCACTTGAGAGGATAATTTTTACTTTTTTTTTAATTAAAATTCAGTTTGTGAGAAATGATAGAATGTTATCGTTACTCTTTCAGAAAATCTCTTCTAAAATTAACCGAAGCATCCTCTTGACGAGGAGTTCTCTTCATTCAATTTTCAAGCTGTAAACTTGAGTGCAGTAAAGCTGATATTAGACAGAATTCCTGATATAGTGACTTGCGTATGTTGTTGATAGCTAATTTAACTGCTTAGAATTTCCGTCTGCATGTTAAAGCATCTGATTTTCACATGTCAGTTTCTATGATTTCCACCTCGCGGATCAATTTTCATCAGCTTAGAAGGGAGTTTTCGTCTGATATACATACGCGTTTTTCAAAAAACAAAATTAAAAACGATTCCATTCTCAATATTCATTTTTCCCACTGATTTTATTTTTAACTAAATTATAAATTTTTAATTTAGTAATTTTAAATTTTTTATTATTATAATATTTTAGTTGCGAAAAAATTTAGATTAAATAAAAAAAAAATATTCTTATATTTAAATATTTGAAATGAAGTAGAAAAATAAATTAAGAAATTGCCAACTCATAAGTTTGAAAGATTTTAACCAGTGTAATTACAACATAGACTTTAAAGCGCAAATTATTTAATAAGATAAGATTTCGTTATATACACGTTTATCTGAGAATAAATGTTTTCCCCGAGTCTTACTGTTGAGGCGAAAGTTTTTGAAGAACGGGGAATGCGTTTTAATATATGATAATGTTCGTTTTTTGCATAACATTCCCGTTAAACCGGCGAACTGTTATGAAAATAATATGATACTCGAAAATCTTCCTCTCTCTCTCCCTCTTTTGCCATTTTATATATGAAGCGGGAAAGTGTGCATCCCCTGTTAAAATAAATCGTTGGATAATTGAAAGGCAACTTCTCTCTAGGGCGTTCTTTATCGTTGTAAGCGGTATAATAAGATGTTCCAAAAAATTTTACTATTCCAAAACGTCAAATATCATATTTATATTTTTCACATTTATTACAATTTTTACATAATGCGTTATAAAAATTTTAATTAATTTTTTTGTCAGATATTAATAATTAATAATACAAATAATTAATAAACACTCATAGCACGGAAATAATAATAATAATTAATTATTGTTAATTATTTCATTAATTATTATTAATAATTGTAAATAATTATTAATTATTAATCTTCATAATTATTATTACCTAATTATTATTAATAAAAATAATAGATAATGTAATAATAATAATAATTAATAAATTTTATATTTTATACTTTCATTTTGTATATTACTTTTTGTATTATCAGTTTTTATTCACTGTAAATTTTTTTTTCTTTAAGTTTGCAGAGAAAAAAAAATTGTAAAACTTTTTGTAATAAGTACATAAATCTAAATTCATCTATCTAAAAAAAATAATAATTAATATTTAAATTAATAAATCAAATTTAATTAATAATTTAATAACTTTTAACCAAAAAAAATTGAAATAAATTGCTATACACTAAAAAAGAAATTTAGTTGATTCAAATAATCGGTTACTTGACTTAAATAAATTTTTTTTTTTTAAATAATTATTATTTGAGTCAATTAAATTGTATTTGTTTCAAATACAGAAATTATTTGTCCAAATACAATTTATTTGATTCAAATAAAAATTATTTGGTTCTATTAAATTTTTATTTGTTAAGAATCAAGTAATCAATTATTTGAAATAATTTTTTTTTTTTTTTCATTATAGAAATTATTGTACAAGATATTTTTCAAAATCCTTTAAAAAAAAATAATCAACGGAAAAAGCATGTTTTTAGATGTTTATTGAAATATCGTATAGTTATGCAAAAAAAAAAGAGCAAAGTTTTCATTTTTTTTCCACAGATTCTAAAAACTTTCAGACAAAGAAAGGAAAGAAAATATTCTCGGCATTTTAAGAAACTTTTTTTTCTTAAAAAAAAAAAAGCTTTGAAGTTTTAACCCAAGAATGTTTCAAGTTTTTATTACTTGAAATATTATCGAAACAATGAGTTTCCGTGTGCTTATATTGCAAAAGAGATTCAACTCTGTGAATTTTTACATGTTTTATAAAATACAGTTTTTTTGTAATATGTAAGAAAAAAAAAACTAATTGCAGTTTCATATAATCGGTGCCTGAATTTTTAAGAATAAAAAATTCTGTAAAAATTTCTCATTTTCTCAAAGAATTTTAAATTAAAAAGTAATTTTTGCCTTTTTTGCAATTGGAAATATTTTGTAATTATCGAAAAATAATTTCGCGAAAAGAAAAATTGTATAACAAAATATTATATGAGCGGTTTAATCTTGAGTCAAAGTTTCTTTTTTATGTAAAGTCAAAGTTCTTTGGTGCAAAAAAAAAAAAGTATTATTAAGTTTTAAGTGAAAAAAGCAATTTTCTTAGGTGGAAATTTTCTTAAGTATAGAGATTGTTGAAAATTTTCGCAATTTATATAAGCGTCAGTGGTAAAGTTGAATTTTAGTCAGACAAGATTTTTCAAAAATTTTTTGTATCAATACATATCCAGAAAAAAACAATATATTTGTCTCAACACCAAATAAATTTTTATTTGTTTCAAATAAATATTTATTTGTTGGAAATGAATTTTATTTGTTTCAAATAATTATTTATATTTGTTGGAAATGAATTTTATTTATTTCAAATAAATATTTATTTGATTTAAATTTAATTATAACAAATAAAATTTTAATTTATTTTTTATCTTATTTTAATTTATTTAAATTTAAATTTTTATATTTTTATTTAAAAAAGTTATTAGGATCTGAAACAAATATATGTTTATATTTAACACAAATATATTATATATTTGTTTCAAGTAAACATTTTTCTGGCTGTTGTAAATGACAATTTCAAACTGAAATATTCTAATTCATCAGGAAGTTTCAAATTTATTTTCAAAAAAAAAAATATTTTGGCAACAGAAAATTTATTTCTCAAGTCATTTTTGGCATTATTTTCTTTTCAGTTAAAAAAAATATTATGGCAAATTATTTCATATCGAATAAAAATCGGTTGACCTATTTTTACTAATTTTTTGACACATCGAATATCTCTCTATTGTATACAAGCAATGATGAAGTGGGAGGTGCAAAAAAAAAGAAGTTTATATACATATACTGTCACTGAGTTTCATTATGCAGCCTCTTAAAGTTGGCATAACTCCCATTGCTCGTAAATATGAGTTATACCAAGTCGAAATAGCTTTTGGTGTGTTCCTTTACTTATATCGCTAGAAACTGTCCAATATATGAATGAGAATAGTGTTCCTGTCTCTCAGGTCTCATCGTTTTTTTTTTTCTTTTTTTTTCATCTTAAGAGAAATTCGTCTACAGGGGACACATATAATTCATTGTGAATTCGATTATGTCCAAAAAAGGAGATAAACCTTTGCAACCTTGGGGGAAATGTCCTCTTTATAAAAACGACACTAATACGAGAATTTGTGCCAAAACTTTTTGAATTATGAGGACAATTTCACACAAACTGGAAAAAATATCGTTCAAAGTTCTGTATATGTTATATATATATATATGATCCATTATGAATTTTTGCAAATTGTAAATCACAATTGAATTTCTATTTTATTTTTTAATGAGATTTTAATAAAAAAAAAAAATAATATTTGGATTATTTTTATATAATGTGAAAAAGAAAATTTTATATAATAGAACGATAATTTAATGATCAAAAACTGAAATTGAATTCTGCATTTTATATTCCTTTTGATCTCTTTCGAAACAGGAAACCGATTGTTACACACATATAGAATGTGTCTTTTTATCGTCAAACTGTAATTTGAAATTTTACACTTTTATCATTTCAATCTAAAATTCATATGTACATTTAACAATTTTCAAAGGGACATTGATCATAAACAATTTCACAAATAACATTTTACATTCCAATATCAAAAACGTAATTTGGATTATTCATATTGAAAACCCAGCAAAAGCTTCCAAACTGATATTTATTTTTATTTATTCTTTTGATATGCAGTAAAGGAAAATTTATTAAAAACTAAATTTTAATATTTGCAGCTCCATTACATTTATTATCATTATATATATATATATATATATATATATATATATATATATATATATATATATATATTAATATTCAAAATTATTAATTTAAATTTATATTTTAATTAAAACCTCAAATTCACATTGAAACTTTAACTTTTATTATTTTTTTACTGAAATTTGTTTTTCGAACTGCATATAATTTATTTGAATTAAATAAAAACAATTTTCCTGTATTTAAAAAATATATTATTTGATTTAAATAATATACTTATTTTAAAATAAATATTCATTTGTATTGGTGCTAACTTATTTAATAATTGTGAAATAATTGATTGCTCTGTTTAGCCTAATATAAACTATTAAGATTAGAATTTTAATATTTTATTAAATATAGTAACCACAAGAACTTTAATTTAATATTTCAATTAGTTAATATATTTTAATAATAAAATATAGAATAAAAATATTCTAATAATTAATATTAAATATTAATAATTTACTAATTATTAGTGTTCAATTCAATTTTAAATTTCAAATATTTGAATTTTATATTGGCCAGACTGTTTGTCGTCACACTACCAACTTATAAAAACGAATACATTAGTAGAATAGAATAACAATAACTAGATAATTCTTAATTTGTTGATAGAAATTTAGATATTCTATTATAAACTAAATTCCAAACTAAATTATTTTAAAACACACATTTTTTTTTTGAACAAAAATAACAAATATTTTTGTGCCTATTATTTGAATGCCGCGGTATTCAATATGTCCGTCATTTGTAAACTGAGCTCTGATTGGACAAAACAAATGTCAAAGATAACAAAACACACATGCATATGTCATTTGTTTTTATTAGTGTTTTAATTAATAAATAATATTGATTATAGTTGTGAACAAGTGAAAGAATTACTACATTATTACTGTAGTTGATAAATACCATGAATATCATTAATAATTGTTTCTATTAAAATAATTTCTAAGAAATAAATAAACCTAACCTATAAATGATGTTCTAATCTGCAAGATATTTTCAATATTTCTCCTATTTTGTCTCAATTAATTAATGAAAATTGTAAATATCGAGAAAATAACAAAGAAATTATAATTAATATGGATTCAAAAGCTGTAGTAATTTCTGGTGAAGCTTCTGAATCGGACGATGAAATTGGTCACATCACCACTGTGAGTACATTTTTTTTTTTATAAATTAAATGATATTTTTATTAATTAGTTATTTCTTAATTAAATTTATTAAGAAGCTTTTCTACCTTAGGGAATAGGATTTCCTCCTCTAAACACTTGTGGAAAAATTATAACAGGAGAAGCTCAAGAATCAGACGATGGTAAATATTTTTCATTGTTTCATTTCAAAAGTCACAAAAATATAAATTCTTAACAATCAAAAGTTTCTTTAATTTGCTCTATTCTTATCAAATTTCTACAAGTTTTTCAAATTTTTTGTTTAATATTATAGCTTTTTAAATTTATCACACTATGATTTTTAAATTGTCATGTAAAATATACTTTAGTAAATGTGACAAAATTTTATCAACTTTTACAGTTTATCATGTATTGACGATCCAGAGTACGTACGTTATATTTGTTGTTTCATTTTTGGCTGCTAATTTTTCCCGTTAGAATAGTAGAAGCTTTAAAAAACCTACGGCTAATAAATCAAAAATGTAAATTGATTTTTTAAAATCAAAGCTTCAAGTAAATTATAATTTAATAAAAAAGAAATTGATATTTATTCTATTTTTTTTAATACAGATGAAGGAAGTTCAACTAGTTTAAGTAGTGCAATTGATGCTGCTGTATGTCCTTCATATACTGAGGCTAAAGTACCAAAATCTAAAAAAAGTTATGTCAAATACAACAGTTTACTTCATTTTAAACTATGTAAGTATTTATGTGACAAAAATTCTAAACGTTTAAATAAACGAAATATTTTTTTCAATCTATTAATTATTAAAAATTATTTTGTCAATGTAAAATAAAACAGTAAATTAAAGAATTATTAAATTAATAACTTCTTTTTAGATATTTAAAATAATATTTTGTAATAATATTCGTACTTAAAGAAGTTGAAAAAAAAATTTCGTTCATTTGAACGTTCAAAACTTTTGGCTCATAAGTATTTTTCTTTCTTTAATAGAATTTTAAGATCAATTAACATATTTTACACTAATTTTAATAATTATTAATATTTAACTAATTGTTAAATTATTACAATTTTAATCGAAATGTTTAAATAATTCATTTAATTTTAATGACATTGAAAAAAGTAACTATTCACAAAAAATGTTTTTTCTTATAACTATTTAGTTTTATTGACCGTACAATTTCAATTACATAAACTGGTCTTAATTACAATTCGCGTTAATGATTATGACACAGTCGATTAAAATGTAGAGAAATTAAGAATAATTCATTAATTAAAAATGTTATCGTTTGCTTTGCATTGAATCAACCTTCATATCTCAGGGTCAAAATTTTCTATTGAATCAAAAACAAATGTGTGACGAAATATATTTTGCTATTAGAAAAAAATATCTAATTAATAATGATAATAATCTTCTCTAAACTTGCAATAAAAGTCTAGAAATTAGAAGTAAAGAGCGGTCTTTAGTTTACTTTAATCGAAATTTTTTTCCTTTTAAGGCAGTTCGACTGCAAGAGACTCTGATAAAAATTAATACTATTAATCATTTTTTTTATTAATATAAATAAACAATTATAATTCGCATAATGTTTACGAAAATTTTGTTTAAAATTTAGATTTTTCTTTAATCAAACATAATTTTAATTTTTAAAATAATTTATCATTTTTTTAAGCGATACAATTTTAATAGTTTATTTTCTTGAGAAGCTAAATTTTTTCAAATTTAAAATGTTTAAATAATTATTTTCAGTATTAAAATTTTATCAGAGAATATTGCGGATGAATTGACATACATTTTTTTCAAGACATAAAGTCATATAATGATATTTTTTTAATTTAAAAAAAACAGATGAATGTAATATCGCATTGGACAATGATGTTCAACGAACTATCCAGAATGTAATTACAAATGGTATACAAGAATTGTCCACTGCTAATCGACAATTGTTAAAAAGCGAATTAATTCTACAAGAAGCCGCTTGTCAATTACGTAATGCATCGAATCGAACTGCAAATGCTTCCAATTCCTTACTTCAACTTTTGGATCTTAACTTTCTACACTCCATAAAAAGTTAAACTTGTACATATATCGTAAATTATTTTTTTTTTTTGCCATTTAGATGACATAATTAATGTCTAATGAGCGATTCTAGAAAAATCGCTAACTTCTTTTTTTTTTGTTTTTTTTTTCTTTTTGGGGGACTTTGTTGAGCATTAATTGATTTTGTCTTGTTTACTGGCAGTTCTATTAAATATACAATAAGTTATTTCCTAGGAGCACATACTTTTTCTTTTAAACAACAGCTAGTTTTATATATCTTTTTTTTTGTTCAATTATGCGTTATTTAAATTTAATCTATTGTAGCCGTTAAATTAATACATTCATAAATTGTAATATATAGCAAATTATTGTAATTACGAATATATCAAATACTTGTATGGTCGTTGCATATCTCTTTCAAAAAAGAAAGTAATCATCAAAATTCTCATAAATGCAACAATCGCAAATTTAATATATTTTCTCATTTGTGGCATTAATTATATTTATATTACTTATTTATTAATTAATCTTTTAAGATTAACAAACGGGCAGAAAGAAGCAGAGGTTGCTAAGTTCCCTTTTTTTTTTATTTTTCTATAAATGCAAAGGCTTTGTTATAGGCACATTTGTTTTAATACTATTTGTGTATCTTCTGCTTCTTAATTTTACATTCTTTTTTTTATGAAAATGAAAGAAAAGAGAAGTTTTTTGACAGTATTTATTCCGTTGAATAAAATATTAGTCCTCTATAATTTAAATGCAAAAAAAGCGTATGTTAAATTTTACTAAAAAATTATAATTATTAAATAATGAAAATTATTGATTAAATTTTATTTATTATAATAAAATTGTAAATAGGTGCATAATCCTTTTTTCGCTGTGAAAATAAGTTTTTCTCCTCTTTTTAGTATTTGATTTTACGTACTTTTTTAAATGTTATTATTTATTACTTTCTATTGTAATGACAAATGTGTTTTGTAAGCATTTGCTTTAAATGATTTTGCAGAGAAGATTTCAAAAAAGTTTAACAAATTAATGCTAGCTAAAAAGTGACGAAAAAGAGTTTAGAAACTAGTTCTATCTATTACTCCCGAACTATGCAATAATTATCAGTGTTTTAATGCCGCAAGTGAGAAGTTTTTGAATATATCAAGATTCTTATCTTGTTTTATCAGTGTTAAGGCATACAAAAGAATATTGTAATTTTAAAGGCTTATTGTATATAATGTACATAAAATAGTAAAAAATTATAGCAACAAATAAAAATTTTAATGATAATTTTTTTAAGTGGTAATGATTTTGTAAATAATAACAATATATAAATAATAAAAAGTCAAATAAATATTTTATTAAATAATAAAAAAAAGAATATACAATTGATTAACAAATAAATATATCTAAAAAGCAGAATTTCATTTATTAGAAATATTTTTAACTTGAGCAATAAACTTTTCAATTTTATTTAAATATTTTCATTAAATTAACAAAATTTATAATTTTTAAACAAGTCTATCTTACAAAGAAAAAGAAATATTCTGAATTTTTAGGGAAACTTGAATGATTATTCTCTAAAAGCCTTTTCTTTTGTTCCATTTTTTTTTTCTAGAAGATTTTTTTTTTATCAAACGCATAACTGTTAGGTATCAAAGGTCTGATATTGTTCGTGGTTTTCTTTATTTGTTTTTTTTTCTTTCGTAAATATTACTAATGTGCACAGTGAATTGGTGATCTAAAAATGGGATGCAAATTTTCCTATATAAATTCAGTCTTTAATTATTTCTTGAAAACTTCGTTGAAATAATAAATAAAAACGTACATTCTAAATTACCTATATTATATAACGAAGTGAATTCATTAAAAATGAAATTTTTAGTTTTTTTTTTATATAGAATTAAAGAAATTTTGTGCTCACACTGATATGATACAATATTGCAACGGAATGCCTTCTTCTATAATAATGATTATTTCTTTTTCACATAATATAATACATCGTAGTTTAATTATTATTATTCTGTACTGAATTTTGAAGCAATTCCGTATGTTGAACTGCATACTATAAATATACACAGTAATTAGAGACGCATGAATATTTTCTCTTATTATTTCAAAAAAAAAAAAAATTCGTTTGATATCAATGTTATTTTAGTGAAATTTATATTAGTCAAACATTACCCACAAGTTGTGTAATTAATTCGATAATATAAATTTTTAATTAAAACATCAAACTAATTTTTGAGAAATATACATGCGTTCCAGTTATTATTCAATTGCACACTATTTGCAATCATATAACTTAAATACCTTTTTTTCTAAACATGTAATTCTAGTTTTATTCTTAATTTTTATATCCTTTTTTTCTGTTTTTAATAGAGAGATAGAGTTTACATATGTACTTTTAGCCATAGGTCTTCATTTATTAAAATTAGGACTTTTGACATTTAAGTAAATAAAGGCAAGTACTTTAGAGTCAAGTTCTGTGTACTTTGACAAATAACAAGTAGGTCTTTTCTCAATTTTCATGATTCAACAATGACCTTTTTGTAAAAAGTATTTTCCGAACAATGAATGATTTTTTTTTTTTTTTTAATATGAATCAAATATTGAATCAGAAAGTTGTTCGATTATGATTTTATCAAGTTCGTTTGACGAGAAAATACATATAGAGTGTTTTTCTTCGTCTAAAACATTTTTTTTCTTTTCTGTTTTGTTTGTTTTTTTTTTCCTGTGAGTCGGCTCAATTCCAAAAGAGAATAAATGTTTGCTGCAATTGACGACCTTTGTAAAATATTCGACGTCGCACGCGATACATGTTGGCTATAGTGAGGGCGCCGACCCCCCACATGGCCTACGCTCTCTCCATCTCACCTCCAGTTGCATACATTTGAAGAAGAGCCATCGACTCCTGAGCTTGTCGTTTCTCGACCAAAAATCTTCCTGACGCCTCTTTCAATTGCTCCAGGAATAATCTGTAATTTTAATTTTTTTTTTGCTTTTTATTTCTCATTAAATTTCATAGAGGAATTACAAAAAATTAAATTTATTTATAATAAAATTTTTGATTCCATCACTCAGTAATATTTAATAATATAAGAAGATGATATCGATCATTCCGAGTCAAGGACTCGAATTCCTTGACTCGGAATGATCGATATCATCTTCTTATATTATTAAATTTATTTATATTTTTATACTTTATAATTAGGAATTATAAAATAAGGGACGAATGAATATTTCCTAAAATATTTTGAATTTCCGATAGAATTTAAAAAAATCGAATTTCTTTTTAGAATCGAATAAGTAGAAATTCAATTAAAGAATTTGAATAAAAATTCTATTTTATTTCTGTTAAATGAAAATTCGAATTTTATGAAAGTTTGGTAAAATAATTTAATTCTACTTTTTAGATAGAAATTCAAATTAATAATTTTTAGCGAATATTCATACGTTCTGTAAAAAAAACTCTTTTTGGTAATTTGAACAGATGATTTTAAAATGGAAAAAAATTATATATATTTTTTTTACTTGTCAGGAATAATATCAGCCAAACTGTCGGGATCCATATCGCTGAGCATTTCTAAATCATGTCCACCAAGAAGTGAGATGTGTGTTGGATCACCATGAAGTGATGAGACCAAAGGTTCCAAAGGCGATCGACGTCTTCTCGAATCACCTCTTGAACCTTCAGCATGATCTACATCATCCACGACAATATAACGTGAGGTAGGATTCCCTCCAATTGCCATCCACTTTTGATCTCCATGTAGTACCATTAAACTTGTATTTTTTTCCAATGTCGCAAAGTATTCCTCATCATCAATTTCCGTACCTTAAAAAAAATAATTCTATTTATTCTTCCTTTTTTTAAACGAATTTTAAATTCTTTAAATTTTATAATTAAAAACCCAATTTGCAAATTGAAATACAAAATTATAACTCACCGTCCTGTTCCAAAACAATAGTGAGTTGCCCATCATCTGGAAGAGCAAGTCGACTTCGTGCAGTATTGGTTAATTCCTCAAGGGAGGATGCTGTGATTCCTTTTCTACGTTCTCTCGCATGATCGACAATTTTGTAAGGATTCCCCGATCCATGAGGCATCACTGACATTTCTGCCATGACAATGAGAATACTTGTCGTTAATGAAAATATATATGTAATATCAAGAATTCCGTAAAATCTATACAATATATATTCAATTCCTTAAGACAATAATTTCGACGAAATTTTTAGACGAATACGTTAACAGCCTTGTGTTTTTAATATTCACAGACTTAAAAATTCGACTTTCGATGCACATTGAAAGAGTTCAATTGAGCACAGTGTTTTATGTCAAAAAAACAAGTGGCAATTTAATGGCACAATATTAAGGATCGCTTTTGGGATTTTTGGAAGCACTTAACAGGCATTTACGTACTTTTGTTTTGGATATAAAAAATTTGGTATGTATATAACAAAAATGGTACTTTAAAAGGGCAGTGATTGGGATTTATCTTTCTTTTTTTCCGAGGTTTTTGAATTAACCGGCGGGGATCTTATAACGAGTTTAACAAGATTATTATTTTTTTTTTGTTTTGTTCGCAATTTGAAGATAAAAAAAAATGAGAGAAGGAAGGCTTTGGTGATTAAAACTAGAGGAGCGAACTGTTTGTGTGACAAACCAACACTGGGTCAATGGTGCAACTACCCCTTCTATTTATACACTCTGTTAACCGCTGCGTATATACAGACACTAGACACCCCTAACAGTGAACCCTCCCAACATGGCACCAGACAGAAATCAATAACCTACCCCACTACCAATTCAATTTTTTAAGATCCCCAAGATTATTCAAGATTCTAATTTTAGAACTGCGAGCAAACTTTCTTTTTAATGTTTTTTTTTTTTTACAATTTTATTTAACAAAAGGAAAAAAAATTAGAAACAATGGAAAATATTAATTCTCGAGTAGAAAAAATGACTATTTTTTTAAATTAATTTAATTATTACAAAAGTAAAATTAATTTTTTTAAGTTATATTTTTTCACTAATAAATATATTTTTAAATTTGACTTTTAATTCAATTTAATTTGAATATAATTTTCTGCCAGCGAAAAATGTTTAGAAAATAATTTTATTTACAAAGAAATACAGAAAAAAAAAATGTTTTTGAGATTATTTTCCCGTTTTTATATTAAATTAGTGGCTCGTAAAATAGATAATTAATTATGAGAAAAGTTGTTTGTGAACTCTCTTTATTTGTTTGTTTATCTTGTACTATGACTTTCATTCATGTTTTATTTCTAAACAGGTGAGACAGTTTTATCGAGATTCACAGGGTTAAGGCAGTGAGAGAGCAGTGTGTGGTTAAATTTAGATTAACAAGACTAGACACTTTTTAGTTTAAAGTTAGCTCAGTTTAAAGTCAGCTCTTGTGGCTCCTTAGGCGAGCCTAAACTAATAATTGAATGATTGGATCAAAATTTTTCAAATAATTCTATTAGGACAAAAAAAAATGCCTTCAGTGAATTCGGATTTAGAAAAAGATGATAGTCAATCGTGGGAATTGGCTGAAAGATGTTTATTACCTATTGCTTTTTCACATGCGATTGCTGTCATTTTAGCGACAGTATTAAATACATTTGGCATCTCGCAAACTTCTAGTTTTGTGCTTTTTCTATTATTTTTGGTTATATCCATTAGTTTCACCTTGTTCTACCACAATCTCAAGGTGAGTGTTGATTGTGATTTTTTTTTATTTAGAAAAAAAAAAAATTTTTTTCCCAGAAATTTCATAAACTTGGAATAATTCTAGTTGAAGGTTGAATGTATGTATTAATAGCGGAGGTATGAAATTTTCAATGCCTCCTTTCCGTGAAAACAAATTAAATTAGAACTGTCAAAACAGTATGCATTTATTGGTTCCTTTGAAAATCTTTAATTAGTGAAAATTCACAAAAAAAACAAATTCAACTCTAAAGCCTTTGATAATGTTATCATCTCGACTGTCACTGAAAATATCAAAGGCTTGCAAGTCCGTGCAGTGATCTGATTAAAAGCTTCTATGTCGGACCTCTGACCTTTTTTTATAACAATACCAGGAGAACGAGCTTTCTATTTTTAAACTCAACATTTTTATTAATAAAATGCATAACAATAAGGAATTGAACTTTCTTCAAGAAAATTATTCAACAAAACATAATTGTATAATATTGAATATTAATTTGCTTTGGAAGTTTTAGCTTTATTATTCTTCTCCGCAATTCAATAATAATACATAATTCAACAATTTTTCAATTGAAATAAAATTCCTCGAAAAATAAAAATTAGAAAATAAATTTCCATCACTGTCAAATTCTAAATAAAATGAAATGTATATAGGAATACGTATTTCTCGAAATGTTACTGGATAATTAATCACTTATAAAGAAATCGATGAAACTGCGGAGGTTTTTAATTCAAAGTGAATAATTTCATGGACCTCAGTTTCCTAAATGTCCTATTGATTTCCCTCACACGTGTCGCAAAGTTCAAGGTTTCCAACAAGATGACTAAATTGAAAAAAAAACCACTAAATAATAAAGTATACCATAAAGTGCACCATTTTCCCTTTCAGTGCATTATCATTGTTCATGTTTTAAAAGAAAACCTCCCTGGAGAACAGAAGCTAAGCAAAAAAAAGAATAGAGATTTGAGATATTTTTACAGCTAAAGCTACTTTAAAAGTTTTCTATATATATAAATAATCCGTTAATATTCTTTGTGTGCAGGTATCAGCAGCAGGAAAAGCAGTATTAATTACCGGATGTGATGCGAGAGTTGGATCCGCATTAGCCAGAAAATTAGATGAATTGGTAAATTTCCTTTTTTCCTTCAAACAATGGTTTTTGAAAAAAAATAGAAAAAATGAAAATTTGTCTATTAGTATAACTTTTAAGTTAAAATTTAATTCATTAAAATTAGTATTAAATTTTTTTTTTTGTTTTTAAAAAATAATAATTTCTTTAATATTAATTTTTAATAGAAATTGAAAATAAATTTCTACTTTTCTCGAGTATATTAAATAAACATAAAAAGAAAAATATTCAACTTAGTTTCTTTATAATAATGAAAATATAAAACTCTTGTATATCATTTTAAAGGGATTTACAGTATTTGCGGGATTTTCGAATAAAGCGGAAAATGAGGAAGCAGCACAAAAATTAAAAGAAGAATCTTCAGGAAGATTACACATTTTACAATTGGATGTTACTAGTGAACATGATATTCATTCAACATTTTTATATGTAAATGAAAATCTACCTGATGGATCACCAGGTATTTTTCATAATTAATTACAATTTTGTTTTAAATAACACACGAAGCAACGTTTATGATACACGATTTTTAAAAAAATAATTTTTTTATAATGAAAAATTCTATAATTTTTTGCCTGAAAAATATTTCTTATAATTTTTATTAATCAAGAAATTTTAAAAAAATATTTTTTTAGGTAAACAATTTCATATTTCACACAAAATTTTTCGTGTTAAATAAAAATTGATTTCTAATCGTTGACCATAAACGTTGTGTACTTAAGCATCGGAATAACACAAAGTTAATGAATTTTTAAATTATTTTTACAAAGGACTGTGGGCTTTAGTACATGCCGATACTTGGGTAACTCTCGGAGAATGCGAATGGATTCCAACTTCAGTTTTAAAAAGAAGCATGGATATAAACGTCAATGGCGTGTCAAGATTAACTCAGGCAAATTATATTTTCCTCATATTCAAATCTTTCACATTTGAATATAATCGATTTCAAATTTAAATTTTGCTTCCTCAATCTTTTTTTTCATAGGTTTTTCTACCTCTCGTAAGAAGATCAAAAGGTCGCATTGTGCTGGTCGGTAGCCTTTTGGCTCGAATCCCAAGTGCAGTCAGAGGAATTCATTGTGCTGTCAAAGTGAGTTCATTAAAAAAAAAAAAGCTAATTAAAAAAAAGGAGCAATAATTCATAATTATAATTTCATTTGAAGAAATCTTAATAAAATTTTTTTTCTAGGCTGCAATAGAAGCTTGGGGAAGTTGCTTGAGATTGGAAATGCGCCGATGGGGTGTCGATGTCGTTATTGTTGAAACTGGCGAATATGTATCAGGAAACGTGTGGTTAAAGGACAATGCAATGATATTAGAACAAGCAAGAGATATGTGGACACAATTAGAACCACAAACACGAAAAGAATATGGCAAAACATTATTTCAAAAGGAAATGTTGGCACTTGAAAAATATACAAAAGGACCTGAAGCTGATTTAATGCCCGTTACACGTGCATTGACAGATGGAATAACTAAAACATTTCCAATGAAAAGGTACACACCAGTGTCCCGTAAAGAAAGAATACAAGCTTTACTTAGTGATCATTTACCAAGATCAGTTTATGATATATTATATACAAATTAAATGGACTGTTGATTCAATTTACATTGTTATATGCTAATTTTATCGAATTCAAAATGTTATAATTGCTGTTAATAATTACACTTTTAAGATCTTCTCAGGTGAGATATTTTCTTTTATGAAAACGAAAATTTATACAAGAATCGAAAGATATTCAATAAAAACGGGGATTTAATTCAATACTATTGTTTTTAGCTAACCTAACCTAGAATTGTAGGTATTATGAATTCTTTAACTATTTAATTAATAACATAATAAAATATATTTAATAATTTAAATTGAATATATTTTCATAAAGCAAAGGATAAAAATTTACCTTATTTGTTTATAGGCTTTGTAGACTATTAAAAGATGAAAAAGCGCAGTCACTAATAACTTTCCACACAATTCAACACCTAATGCAATAAATTGTTATCAAATTTATAATTCTTTGATTGTTTTCGAGTGTTCTTAGTTTTTTACTATTTAAATAGATGCAAAACAATTAAAAACAAATTTGATTTGACATTTGAAAACAAACACCACAAAGTGAGGTTATGTGGCTCCAGCTTTATTGCAGTACTGCCAACCCTAACATTCTTTAAAATTAAAGTTGGCAATTTGTGGTAACATTCTAGTGACTATATTTTTATTTTTAAAAAAACAAATAATTTAGTGAATATTGATTATCTTAATAATTGCAATAAATTTAAATTATACTTTCTTTTTAATATAATTACATAATGATTTATTTATTAAATTTGGAACTTTATTTAAGTGTATTCTGATTGGTTAAGTAGTTTTTTATTCAGATCTTCCTGCCCCTTCATTGGTTGAGCTAAACAATGAAGAGGTCATTGTCATTTCAACCGTTTTCGGTGACAGATATTCGAAATTGAATATGAAGATAGAGCAAGATATAATGCTGAAGAAATTGGTGAGTTAATCCATACGAATTTATTTCAATCTAACAAGTAATTAAAAAATAAAAATTATTGAATTTTATACCAAATTTTGTTTTTTTGTTCATCCTGCACAATGTATCGCTTTATGGCAAAAATTAACCTCTTTTTTTTGCATATTTTAGCTTCTATTTACCTACATTGAGAAAATAATTTATAAAACTAATTTTCTATTAAAACACTATCAGTATTAAGAGTTTTTTTAAAATGTCGAATCGTATGGAAATTTGATAAAGTTCGAAAGCGTCTTTTTGTGCACGTGGTCATTAGAAACAAAAATGGTTGACAAAAATAATTTCCATTGTTTTTATAGAAAAATCTTTCTTGATACATTCAACTCTTAAAGTAGTATCAATAAATATTTTTCCCTTTTTCTATTTATTTTATAATAAATTGATTTTCAATTAAACTTTCTAGATTGAACCAATGGTAACAATTCCAGAAAATTCTGAACTTTTCATCCAAAGGGTTAGTAAAATTACATTTAATAATTATAATATTAATTAATTTAATTTTAAACTTTTTATTGTATTTATTAATAGAAATTTAATTTTTCTAATTATTGAAATATGATGTATTTTTCAGCAAGAGCAGTCTTTTATGATTGAACAAAATTCAGGGCTTTTGAATTCTACAATCTTCATTCCGGAAGAACTTCAAAGATTAAATTGTGCCATTCCACAATTAAGTAAATATTTTTTAAATATTGCTTTAATTTTTCTTGTTTAAAATGCAATAATTCATTTGTAATATAATTAAAATTTTTTTTATTTTAGTCTATTTACCACCAGTAATGGAGATTCCACCAAGTACCTGTGCTTACTGTCAACATCTTAATAATTTCAATCAAACAATGCCAAATGTGCAGTATGTGAATTTTCGTGCACTTCCAAGCTTAGATAAATATTGTGCTGATTTGCCGTTTACTGGTAAAAAAAAATTCTTTATACTTCAAGTTATTATTTTTATTAAAATTCTATTCTATTTTTATAATTTAAAATTTCTACATTTTCAGACATGCTGACATTTCAATATTTTTACAACTTGGGAATAGAGTATAGTGAAGGATTTTATGCAAACGCTGCCAATTGTAGAGCAAACTATAATAATAGATATAAGAAAGGAAGAAAGTTTAAAAAGTACTTTAAAAATTCTACTTTCAATAGAAATTTTTGAAAAATTTGTATTTTGCATAAATAATAGAAAATAGGAACTTGTCTTTAAAAAAAAAGAATGCATTGTTATATTAAAATGTTAAAACAAAATAAAAGTTAGATTTTTGAGTTTATAAATCAAACTTCAAGAATATTCATTTCAACAGAACATCAAAAAAATTAAGAAATTTCAAAATAATTAATAGTTCAAAGATAGTTGTAATAAAAATTTATTGAACTTTTCAAGTCATTTACATTAATAGTCGCAAATGAAGGAAAATCTTTAAAGTTGAAAATTAAATATTAATGTTTCTTTACATTTGACTATGTCTTGGAGAAAGCGGGAATTAACAAGTAACGACATAAGTATATATATAATCAACAATTTTTAATAATTTACGAAATTAGCAGATTCTAATGTGATAAATCTGTTTTAAACAAAAAATTTCATATTTTTAGTGTCAGCAAGGGATGTGAAAAAGTGATTTCGATATAAAGGTAAAATGTATTTGTTTATATAGAAAAGAAACTTAAAGGTGAGATGAAGAGAGCGTTATAGAGGCTACAGCGGGTGGAATAGAGAGTTTTACCCGCGGGTGTAATTTCAGTGCGGGAAAGGATGGCAAAGACAGCCAATTTTGATCTTGGAAGACGAAGGTGAGTCATAATACTAAATTATTAAATAAAATTAATTTTTTTTCAATTATATTTTATAGTAATTTAAGTAATAGACTAAGTCTATCTAAAAATTAATCATATTAAATTATTAGACAACGAGTTTTCATTATAAAATATTTAATTAAAAATTCAAAAACCTAAACGTTTTTTAAATTTAATCAATTTAAATATATTAATTTTTATTATAAAGAATAAAATGTGTACAACTTGAGACACTTTCTCTATTAGTTTTATATATATGAACTTGCAATCGTATAATGTACGGAAGTTCTCTCAGCAATACCATAAAGAGCCCAGAACAAGATTCGCAAGACATTCAATTTAAAATATGGTTTATGATCATGACAATTTCTCTTAAAATGTTTCTTTATCATTTGAAATTCAATGAACAATTTTTTTCATTAAATCAGTTTTTTTTTTAATTATTTGTTCATTAATATATTTTTATTTACAATTATTGTTAATGGTAACTCATTACTATGCAGAATTTTAGTAGTTTGTGAATTCATATAAGATTTAAGTAAATAAAATATAAGAATTTAAAACTAACAAAATTTAATTTGGAAAATACTAATAATAATTTATTATTATAATAATACATTTATAATAATTATAAATTAATTAAACAATATAATTTACAGTTATAAATGTATCGAATTTAATTAGTTAAAAATAATAAATATAATTATAGTCGTTTTATAAGATATAATATCTACTAATATTAAGTACTTTTTAAACAAACTCGAATGAGATGTAATGAAACTAAGTTTCTAATTTTAATATTGAATTTTCATATTAACAAAGTGAATAGTTTTTGGGGCAGTCATTATATACCTCATAATTACTTTTATGTACTCTAATATTATTATAATTAAAATTGAAATTATAGAAAGTGGTAAATGTTGGTCAACACATATATGTATGACCTGTTTGACCTGAAAACTTTACTTCAATTTTCAAGTCATCTCCTATATGCATATTATTATTCGATTGAGAAGAACACATTCAAGTGAGAGGAAACTTCAAAACGTGATTAGCAGTTTCAGGTCGTTGCTTCAATATAGGATAACTCTCGGTAAACATCTTTAGATTTCTCACCATTCGAGAATATTTTTTTTTTTTATTTTTTTCTGTCACCTACAATATAACTTAATTTATTCATAAACACATGGTAATCCATGTATTATTCATGTATATAACAAAGAGAAAAGAAATTACTTATCTATATAAACTATCTTTTAATGATATTCATAAATCGATTTATATAGTCGTTCATAGAAAATTACCAAGTGCTACTGGGACATGATCTTCTAATCGTTTACTCTTACTTTTTTTAAATCATTTTTTGTCTTCATTTCGTTTTAATTTTTTTAGCTGTAATAATTTATCTTTTTTTTTTCTTAAAAACGAAAAAAATGTTTAGTTTTTACACTAATATAATTTGTAGTTAGAAATTTAAAAAAAATTTAGTTTATTTATTATTATGATTTTAATCATTTTATTATAATTACTAATTATAAAGTTAATAAATCTAAATAAAATTTTAAATAAATAATGAACAAAATTTCTTTTCTCTACAAACTTATTTTTATAGGCTCTGTAATTTTTCGTCTAATATTATTTACTTTTTCAGTAACCGAAAATTTAGAATCACGAGGCAACAACTAAAATCAAACATGAGCTGCAAGATTTTTGTTTAGAAGAAAGAAAGAATAGCGAGTTAAGAAGCGATGGCGCTGTTTAGAAAGTTCAGAGCCGCAAAAGGGTTACCTTCAGGTGTGGTACCAGGAGGGGATCTCTCTAAGCTAGCGGTTCCTGGTTTCAATCTCCACTCACTGCTCGTTCAATCGTCGGGCAATCAACTTCGTAAAAATTCTTTCGATCGTATACAAGAAAAAAAATCGGACTCACGTTTTAGTAAACAAAAAATAATTAATTTAAAAATTAAATCGTTATCAATTGGTTTTGAAGTTAAAACGTTTTTTTTTTTAATCTCAGTTCGGTGAATCTCTTCCGTAAGGATGGAGAAGGACCAGCCGGATTCTTTGGCAACTGTCGCCGTGGGATCAGAAAAAATTTCACCCACGAGCCATTATGCGCCAAGTGAAGTTTATTCCACGACTGAACCACCTCCGGTAAGACAATAAAATCCTTCATGCATGAATAATTATACAAGAACTTGAAAAAATGAATTTCTTTTAGCTCAATGCATTTCTTTTTTCATAAATAATTTTACTTATTAATAATTATGTTAATTTTTAATTGACTTAAATTAACTTTCATTTTATTTATTTTTTCGTATAGTTTTATTAATAATTTAAAAAATCGAATTCACCTTCGATTCGTTTTATTATTACATTTATTTTTAAGATTCCAATAATTAAACTCACAATTTTCTAATCCCTTAAAAATTCTTTTTAATTATCTTTATAAACAATTATATAATTAACGGAATTAGTTTGTATATAAATATAGTCAAAGAAGTGTAATAATGGTAGCTACTCTTTCTTTCGTGGAAATTGAGAAACAATTCCGGTCACTGACCGGAATACTTATAGCCAAGTTTTAAAAGTAACAAGTGCCGTTCTTTAACTATTTATGACTGTCATTACGATAGTACAAAAAAAAAAATTCTTTTTACAATTTTTATGAAATACATTATTAGCAAAATAAAAAAAAAAAAATTCCGTCAACGCGAATGACAATGTAAACAAATGGTTTTTTTTCTCAATTGCTAAGCACATATTAACGTCAAGTTGATTATTCGTGTTCAATTGAAGAAAAAAAAAATTTAACTGCATATCGAGAAATCTTATAGGTATAATTATGCGAAAGCAGTGATTTAAAATTGAGATTAATCCTTATAGAGGGAAATGAAAGCTTTTTGAAAGTAAACATCTTGCAAAATGTGTAGAAAAATTATAAAAAAAACTGGTTTTATGTTTTTTATAAAACATTTCTTTAAATTTATAAATAAAAATAAAAATTCGATATTATTAATTTTATAACAAAATTTTAATAATTGCTTTTTTAAACTGGTTTTAAATTAATTTTTTTATTAGGATCTTAAAATATATTTTATCAATTATGCCCACCTTAAATTTTATATAAACAATTTATATAACATAATGAAGTGCCCTTAAAGATAACTTGAATTTATATATATATATATTCAATCTTACGTAAATTGGAAGATTACGTATTACAGGAGGAAAGAACAATTTCCGGTTGTAATTGTTCGTTTTGTAGTTATTGTAAAAGAATTAGTGAAGTATTGTATAACTGTACCAACCCCTTTTAAAAATAATATTTTTACTTCTATCAAAATTTAATTTTTATATACAAAGATAAATTTTGGAAAAAAATGTTTTACAAAAATTTGCACTAAATTTAACTATAAAATCAATAGAAAAAAAAAGAATAATAATACAAATGACTCTCAATGATTATTATTTCATTAGAATTTGAAATTTCCTATCGCATTAGTGATAAGAAATTTAATTACATACAACACACTTTCGACGTGTGCGCAACCCAAATGGAAGATTTGCTCGACGACAAATTATTAGTATAGTAACTTTCACCATTGAACTAGAATTGTCCAACAAAAATGAACTGTTATTATTTTTTGTTTGTCTCTGAAAAAAAGACTTCACTTTCTTTCACATATATATTTGTCAATTTTTTAAAATAGTTATTTTCATAATTGATCTTTAATTATCAATTTACAATTAATTATACGTTAGCTGCATATGTTACTGAAGATTTTCTCTGGCATTTTTAAAATTTTATTATTGTCATTTTAGTACATTTTTATTTTTTTATTTTTCTATTTTCTGTCTTTTGAATCTTTTTTGTGTAACCTTATTTTTTTTATTACTTATTCTCTGTAAAACGATGTCAGGGTTTTCGTTATTTAACAATAAGACCTGTTAAAATTTTCATTCGTTTTAATTTTTACGAACTTTGTTAACTATTTTCTTAATTCACTGAACGTTTAAAATTGTTAATTAGCTGCAATTAGGCGCTTGTGTAATGCGAATTTTTGCAAAAATTATTAATTGGGTATTGAATTATTGTATTATGGGTATTAAAAACTTTTTTTTATCAAACTTTTAAAGATAGTTTAAAAAAATAATAAAAATAATAATAATAATAATAATAATAATTGTAAGAATTAAGTTAGTATTTTCAAATTTCAATGAATATTAATAAAATTAAATAATAAATTTCGATTATGCATAATATATTTATGCAATTTTTTCAAATAAAAACAATACAATACGTATACCTACAGAAAATTTTTTTTTAAAAATGATTGCATGTCAATATTAGAAAGTGTTAACATCGATATCGTGCATTCATCATTTTGTTGAGGTGTTTGACCTCAAGAAAAATATTATAATTTAACATAAAATTATAATAAAAAAAGGAATTAAATTATTTATTGAATAATTTCAGAAAATTAAAAAATTATTTTTCCAAAAAAATAATTCTTCTTTTAAATCAAATTTTCACAATAATGTCCTTTTGCCGTAATAAATAGACCATTCGATTATATTCGCACTAGGACTAGAAACTTTTTAAAACCACTAGACTTTCTTTACTTAGTGAAAACAAGGAAATACATTCTTTTTCTGTCGCTTAAACTGATGATAAAAAATTTATATGATTATAAGTCACGAAGACATAATAGTATCTGTTGAACCAGAGTAAATTGTACGAAGAAATAATTTTTAAATGGAAAATAATATTCTTCAATTAAATGTGAAAACTATAATTTGCGTTTATAATTGAATTGTTTTTTTGTTTTCTTCAATATTTAATTTTATTTAATATTTCTAAATTCATTTTAATATATTTGATATAAATATAATTTTAATAAATTAAAAAAATATTGGTAATTATAATAAATAATAATTTAATGCAATCATTTTTTTTTCTATTATAAAATAAAATAAATATAATAAAATATTTAAAAAAGTAATAAACAAAATAATTAAAATTTTCTTAAATGGGAAAATAATAAATAAAAAAAAAAAATTATTTTTTAAAAATATGGAAAATTCCAATTCAAGTATTTATTTGAGATAAAGAAAAAATGTATCTGTAAGAATGTCTTGCAAAAGTCGACTTACAAAAGTAGTCTTCATATATATGATGACGCAAGAGCTATTCTTGCAAGTGCCTTGGAGAATTTAATTTAAATTGCAAAGATCTATGCTTTCGAAAGAGAATCTTGATTTAAAAAATTAGATCACTAGTAGAAATTAAATTTTCTAATTTTTATTTTTTATATATATTTTTTAAAATACTCTAAAATTATTCTATACACTAAAATTTGACTTTTTGAAACAATGTACAATATTTTTTGTTTTAAAACATTTTGTTTTGAGGAAAGGTCTATATCTAAATAGTTATAATCATCGAAGTCTCGAGAGACTTTAACGCCCGAACTTTTAAAAGTCTAGTTTCTTTAATAGCAAAATTTCTAAACAAGAAACTATTATTTGCAATTTAATTTAATTCTTTATATTTTATTTTTAAATTCTTATTGTTTTATTTATTATTTTATTCTTTACTTTTTTTTTCATTTTACTATTTATTTTATTTTCACATTCTGAACAAAATTTCTTGTGAGATCATTTTCACTCATTAATATTATTTAATTAATAATTTAATTGTCTTATAAATTTTTTCTGAGAAGAAACTTTCTCACATACTTCACAATTTCTGATAATTATTTACACGACTTTTTTTTCTCAAGTAGAATGAAAAATTTAATTTAAATCTCGATCAATGGAGCAATTCATTTTTTACATATCTTCTTTTCTTTTCCATTTATTTTAATTAATTTGTTTGAATTATTTTCACAGTGAAATTTAATTAAATAGAATAATTATTTAAGATTAAGTAGTAATTTATTATATCAATTTGATTCTTTTAGAATAATTTCCAAAATTTTACCAAAATAGTTTTACACGAAAATTATTTCGTTAATAAAAAATGGTATGAAGAAAAAAAATTTTTTTACACGATTCAAAAACAAACTCATTATATTTGAAGGCTGTTGTTGTTTTTTTTTTAGAGATAGACTTTTTTATGAGAGATTGCAGAGGACTATAAATTGGTCTAGACAATGACAACTACAGTTAAAGAAGGTGTCTTCGAGCCACTACAAAAAAAAATGACAGTTCTTCTAGAGTTAATATATACATATTTTTTTAAGACTGACATCTTGTATAAAGTAGCAAATGTGCACAGTGCCTGTAAACTTTTGTCAGTTGATGAACAAACTCCAACTTGGATGACCTACTATGGAGGCCTCTCACCTGGGAGTTGTTCATCCACATCGAGGTCATTAAGAATCTTTGTACAGCATCTCATGCAAGTTTTGTTCAATTGCCAAGAAAGCACAAAGGAAAAAAAACGAATTACAGCTCTGTTTTATTGATCAAAATTTAAATTCAACTTTTCATTTCAAATTTTATATTTAAGAAAACAGTCGTGTAAATCATTAAGAAGTTATTCTTTTAGGAAAAATATTATTTTAAATAAATTATAAAATAAAACAGTTATTTTTCTCAAAAGAAAACTATTGATCTATGGAAGAAGAGTAATAAAAATCCTCAAAGTGAATTAAATTGCAATATTTCTTATATATATAATTACTTTAATTATGCAGTAATTACTTTTTAGAAATAACACTTCAATTTACTTTAAGAAGTCTAATTAACTTGATTCAATTATTCTCGCATCTTCTTTGGATCACGTCATTGTTGGCTGCTATAATTTTAATTGCAGTCTTAGGATTCATTACACGATTCATTTCATGTTGAATTAAAAATATATAAATTTAGAATTTTTTTTTCTCCAAAAATAGTAGTTTCAATTATAATTAATTTCAAATACAAATATAAACTGACAATTTTAATTAGTATTGAAAAAAATTGTGATAAAACTTATTCTGTTGGCGCAGCAAAATTTTTTATTGACCACAGCAAAAAAGAATTTGTATTTCTTTAATTTTAAATAACCATTAGTTTTTTTTAAATAGTTCAAAATATAGGTATTTTAAAGAAATTTCTTCAACGGAATTAAATTTAAAAAAATTGTCTTACAATTTTTTGTAATAATTTTAGTTTTTTAATTAAGACAAACCATAAACATTTTTTTCAAACTTCCTTTCACGAGAATAAATCATAAATAATTTTCAAGTCTTTATTTTATTATTATTATTATTATGCGTACCCACGCTTTTACCTTTCTTTGGTTCTGCGAACGTCAAAGAAATCTTCGAAAACCTAAGTTTATGAAAAAAGATTTGCATACATTTACATATACATAATTAAAAAAAGGAAAACAATATCTTTCGAGACATCGCTACTTTATCTAGTTTTAATTTTTTTTTATTTTTGTAAATAAAATAAATCGTGATTTTAGATTTCTTGGATGAATATAATTTGATATAACTTTTATTCCTTCCTCATATCAATAAATAAATTTTTAAAGTCGATCGAGGACGTTCAATAACTTCTCATGATTAACACGAGGTTGTCACCCGCGAATAATAATGTCAAGGTACTGTTAGAGCGTTTCAATACTTTTTTTTCGCACATATTCCAGTTTCTGATTTCTGTACAATCATATATTGTTTCTGTGTTAAAAGTATTATTTCTATTTGTGTTGTGAATGACTGATGAGATAACAATGCAATTAACTCTGGATCCCCTCAATAGCGTGAGAATGATTTTGCGTAAAGAATATTTGCATTTTTACAACACCTTGTATATACAATTTCTAAAGTCAGAAGGCGAAACTTTTTATTATCATCTTTGTCTTTCACAAAAAATACTTTTTTTTTTATTTTTTCAAATTTAAAAAATATTTTTTTTATAAATCTTTTTATAAATTTATTGTTTGTTTTTAAAAAGCACATTAAAATTGATAAAAATAATTTTATTTCAAAGAATTCTTTTTTCCGTATTATTTAAAAATATATAATTGAAGTTTGTTCCATATAATTTATATAAATATTAAGGATTTTTTATCTTTTTGGGATTTAAAAAAAAAAAATCATGTTTTTATACAAATTGAAATATTTCTTTACCATTGTTTTTAAAAGAAAGCATGTCCATATCATAATTTAAATTGTTCTACAACACGTTTTCACTCTTATTAAAATGATTGTGGACTCTCATGCATGAATCAGAAATATACCGAAGGCAAAACGTGTCCATTATTGTAAAAGAATTCATAAAAAAAAAATATTTTAATTTACCTTCACTTTTATCAAATAAAATATTCTGAAATAATCTCAAATAAAAATTAAAAATTATAAAAAAAAAAAAATTAAAATTGTAAGACATCATTTTGAAATATTAAAATTTCTATTTTTCAATATGATTTATTTTATAGAATTTTATAGAATTCTACATTTAATATTATTTTAATGTAAACTTTCACTAGACAAAGCCTTTTTGTTGAAAAGCGATTCAGTTTGAATCCTTTTGATCGTGAATCAAATAGAGATTTGCATCACATCCACTGAATATATAATTATTCTCTATAACGCATTTATATATACAAGTGAAAATCCAATGCGCTCAAAAATGCGTGAAAAATTAATTCCGGTATTGAGCATATAGAGAAACGTGATGTAAATAAATTTTACTCTAAATTCGCATGTAAAATAAGATCATTATTATAGGAAGTCATTCTATCAATTTCCATAAGTCCTTCTTTGCTTCTTACATGTATAACGGTTTATATATATATATTTTTTTTTATCAAAGTATTTCAGCGAAAGGGAAACACTCTTGCTTTACATTTGAAATGTTATGCAAGACGGAAATGTTCACGTTATAATGAATTCATCTTAATTTTTAATTCTTAATTTTATCAGTTTTGCAAATTTCCACATGTTTCTCTATTTTTGTTTACTCATTTATTAGTATTATTTATAAAACTTTTTAAATTTCAAAATTATTAATATTTTTATAATAATAATTTTTTTTTTTTTTTTAATTAAAATAAATTGCCTTGATGAATTTTGTTTTTAATATAATTAATTTTCTTTTTTAGGCATACATAAGGCCTGGAAAAACAACGGCAGTGCAAATTGCAAGGATTGCAGCGATAACATTAATTTCCATGACAGTGCTATTGGGAAGTTTTATTCTCGCATCATCCTGGATCCAGGCACGTGCATCTTGCACTCCAGAAGCCATAGCAGCGATGCAAGCGTCTTTACATTTGCAAAAATTACATGAAAAAAATTATAATTCCCAACATCAAGGAGAATTTCTCAAAAATCTTCAACCCGCAGCTCTCATTCAGGTGAATTTCACTTTTCTTTAAATTGATTTTTAATTTCTTTGGTAAACTATTTTTTCTAAATTTTATCCATAGTTTTAGAGTTCTTACTAAATATTTTTTAAATCTCCTTATTTGTGAAATTTCAATTTGTAAATTATAATTATTTACTGATAATTTTTTTTTTCTTTTTAAATGATGACTTTTGCATGCACATAATAATTCTGTTGTGTTACTTTTATGCGGAAATTATTATTCCTTCTTTGATCACTTCAGGGTACAGTTTTGCGCGCCAAGTAAAAAAAAAAAGATAGCCAAATCCTTTTGTATGTAAAATAGTTAATTACGAGAATCTCATAATTCAGTGTATGATTAATGTTCATTATATAGGGATAACACTAAACAACAATCAAACAGGAATTAAGTTTTTTTTTTAAAACAAAACTGTTGTGGTACCAGGCTGTGCTCAAGGAGAACCACATAGTAACGAAAATTACGTAATTCGGGCTATGAGTCTCCATTGGACGAATTTAATTTCAAAACAAAAAATAATCAAAATATTTTATTGTTTAAAAAATGCGAAATTAAAAAAAATTCTATCATTAATGAAACAAAATTACAAATTTTTAAAGATAATTTCGACGAAAGTAACAGTCAGTAATTTTGTCAAATCTTAAACGGATAATTTTAAAAGAAACGCCAAGTAATTAAGTAGTTTAGCAATTGTAAAGAAAAAAAAAACCCCTCCGTTTTTTTTTTTGGTTGGCAAATAATAGTGATTTTAAAAGAATTTTTTTTTGTCAAGAAAATATAACTAATTTTCTGTTTACTATACTTTTAATTATCATAATTCTTTTGTTCTGTTCTAAAGTGTATATTTACTATTTTCCTGTTTTCTCATTGTGTGAAAAAATCGATGATAGAACTTTTTCATAACATGATTATTACGATAATTGAGCATACATATAGGATTAAAAAAGTTAATGTGCGTTAAGAAAATCTTGTCATTAATTAGTAGACAATATTAATGGTAATTAGAGCGGATCGGATCTTAATTATATATTTGTAGACACAACAGTGACAATATTTTTAAAAAAATCTCTTACAATGTTCTCTAATTGCATTAAATTTCTAAATTAACAAATAATTAATTTTTTATTTAATGATAATTAATTCTTTTTTTAGAAAATTAAAAAATATTGAGAGATAAATTAAAAACAGTGTATATTAAAGAATATATAATAAAATTCATAAAGTTGTTACTAAAATTATAATAATAATTCGACGAGAGGAAATGTAATGTCTGCGTGAAGCAATGACAAGTGTGATGCAATAATAAAACTAGCAACACCACGGAAACGTATCTCCTGTATATAGTGAGAAACTATTTTCTCTTAAGCGCAATCAATTTGCAATATAAGGAATGTTAACAATTTCTAAATGACAAAAACAGTTGTGTTATATATATTTACAAAATTTTTCTCTCAAATTTTATGTAATTTTATTTTCTTTTGGATTTTTTTCTGAAGAAATTAACATGAACTAAAAATTCATCCATCCAGTTTAGATTCAACTTTCCCGTTCCTTTTTTTTTAACAGGAAGATTATTAGAAATCACAAAAGTCACAATTCTAGACTAATCTTTAAAGTTTCAAATGATTGAAGCATGTAAAAGTAATATACTGAAGATTCGAGGAAACTATAATATATTGTATGCAGTAACTGCCACTCATGAAATGTTTAATAGGGTGAAAGTTTCATTGAAGGAAAATAAAACTAATTTACAGTTAAACCGAACATGAAAGTAATATAGAGAAAAAGAAAAATATTTCGAATTTCGTTATATCGTGATATATTTATTTTTATTTTCTATTTTTTATTTAGTAATGAAAATTATTATCATATATTATATTATACGCATCAGAATAAGTACACGCGTAGCGCTAAGGTGAATGTTCTCGCAAAAGATTTTCTCTCTTCATAAAAAATTAACTGTACATTTAAATTTGCAAAAATTATATTTAAAATAAATTTTTTCGGTTATTTAATCTTTACAGAAAAAAAAGTATATTCCAAAAAAAAAATCTAATAGTTTAACGTAATTCAATTTAGAAGTTTTTTTCTAAACGAAATTGCATAATTTATTTCGAGAGTAAAATTATTTCTATATTCACAAGAACGTAATTGAAAAAAATCTTGCGAGATTTAAACCAAAATTACTTCATCAATAAAAAAAAGTATCTTACCTATTATTATATAATAAAAAAAATATTAAATTATTATTTAATTTCTAATGATTATTATTTCGAATATTTTGGAATTAGAAATTTATTTTTGAATAATTAAAATTCAAAGAGCGTTAGAATAATGAAAGTCGGTTATCAGAAATTCCGCAGGACGTATCGTGAATATTGCTAACTTTAGGTCGTGTCGTGTATTGGTAATCGAAGCAACGTCTTCCTGTTCGCGACATCGGGTCGATAGTGAAAGTGAACTTTTAACAATCTCTCGTGAAAAACTCAAGTCTATCATGTAAGTTTCTGCATACCATCATATGAAAATTCTAAAAAGACAAAACTAAAACTATTTTCATTCGCATATTATTAAAAAAATTTAATTTTTAAAATTTGCTTTAAAAATATTAATTTTTGTGTTATAAATTTTTAAATATAAAAAAATGTTTGTTATAGAAAATTTATTTTATTTTTCATGAAAAATTACATTTAATAATATATATTTATTATGTTATTGTCATAAATATTAAATGACTTTAAAAATATAACGAGTACTTGTGGAAAATGATGAGGAGAAATTTTACAATCTCTTTTTTTTCCCTGACATTAAAGAAAGGCGTGAAAAATTGGTCAAAATTCATTTTTGTTTGCATGACAATTATTTGAATAATCGATAAATGACTATATAGCGTTCAACAAAGTGACACTTTCTCAAGTTTCTCTTTTGTTAAAATGACATTTGCTGAACTTGATACTTGTTTTTCTGTAAATTGAAACCTATTATGCTTGATTCGTTAAATATTTAAGAAAAGACAACATAGAATTGTGTGCTTGTTCGTTTGACTATTTTTTTCTTTTACAATATTACCAGAGAAAGTATTTAATGAACTTTGTCAAACAAAACTTTCGAATAAATAACTTGTCATTTATAACAAGATACTGGAACATGACATTTGTTCTAGTCATTTGTTTTTCTTTTTTTCAAAAAAAAAATTTTAATAGAAAAAAAATATTCTCTTAATTTTAGTATGAATTAAAATTAATTTAATGTTTTTTCGTTTCAGGATTCTATTGATGTAAAAAATAATTTGCAAACTCTCTCAGAGACAACAGTATCGAAGAAAGAAGGTGAATCAGAGGTGAAGGAAGTTCGAGCTCAAAAACAAAATGAGAATAATTTAAAGAATGACAACGATAATGGTGATCAAGATAATGATGATGAGGATGATGACTATGATGACGATGAATTGCCTCCAGTTCATATAAAACTTCCCCTTCAACTCGATCTTGACGACATTGCAGGAGTAAGTTTATTCAATTTTTTTTTAACTATCCTTGAATTATTATTTATTTAACTATCCTTTTAAGGAATTCCGATTTCAAATTTAAATTAACGTCATTAATTTTAAATTTAGAGTCTCATCCGACAAGCTCGTAGTCGAGTCTCCTGCGTTGTTGAACGCCGAAGAGCTGACGAATTAATGGATGGAGATAATAATATTGACAACAGTACTGATCCTCAAAAATTCCAGAGAGTGAGTGGAGAACGTGTCTCCATTCTTTGCGAAGCTGGAAATCCCCAACAAGAGTGAGTTCCTCGTTGTATGAAAAAAAGCAAATTTACTTTTTCAATTTAATTTTAATTCCTGTTAATTATAGAATTAATTTTAATTACTATTAATACTAAATTTTAATTAATAGTAGAATAATTAATTCCAATATACAGAATTTTCAAAATTTTTCCAGACAACAAGACCAAGAAATGATGACACCAATCATCGTACCTTTGGGAACAGTTCAAATTCCAGTTCAACAACAGGAACCAACTTCCGGTTATCATCAATACCAACTTCATACTCAATATCAAGTTCCAGATATGCAACAACTTCCATTGAGTGATCCCAGAGGCTTTAATCATATTCCAGCCGGAGTTTTGCCACCGGAACTACGCAATCTACCTCATATTAATATGGAAATGAAACCCCCACGTATGTCCCCACCTGCTCAATCAATGAATCATCACGAACCCGTTGTTGAACAAGTGAGAGGCCATGATAGATTATTTAATAAATAATTAATTATTATAGAAATTTTGTTAAATAAAAATTCAGTTGAGAACCTTCGCAGTAAATAAATTTAGTAAAAATTAATTATAATTATCATTAAATAAATTTAACAAAGAAATTTTGTTTGTAGATTGAAATGCGTCAAATTCCAATTGAACTGAGACACTTCCCATTACGTGGAATGAGACCATTACGCCAACAAGAGCCACGTCAGGAACATATTATTGCCATGAACTTCCCATCACCAATGTATCATGCTAATGAGCAAGGGGATTCAATGGTGCCACCACCACCACCGCCAGCAACTAATCCTCAGGAATCTCAAATGCCAGAACACAGAATGAATCCACAAATGATGCAACCGCAACCTGACCAAAGACCCCCTCAAATTCCACAAGATATACAACGATCACCATTACACGGGATTCCCTTAGAAATTCGTAGAATCGTCCAACAAGTTCCAATGGAGATCAAGAATATTATTCAACATATTATGGGTGATTCGAAAATTTTCCCTGTTCCTGTTGCCGAAGAAGCTCGTCAAGAGGTAAATATTCTAAATTGCAAAAAATTTTGTTCTCTTTCATAATTTCTCTTCTTTCTTTAATGCCTTTCATCAATTTTTAAATGATAAAATAAATAAATGATAAATCTTGTGCTTATAGGAGAGAAAACAAAAAATATGTAATTCCATCAAATAAGCTTAGAAATTATTTACAAGCAATGACAATTTTATTATCTAACAGGTCTTTGTACCTCTATACAATCAACAGTAATTTCTAATTTTTTTTTTCTTTGTTAGCATCCTTAATATGTAATGAGTTACAAGAAAAACAAATTATCGATAAATTACTCTGAGAATCGAGCAAAAGGATTTTTTTCTTCTTTAAAAGAAGATTCTATTTCTGTTTGTAATTATTATGTATTTTCTAGAAAAGACATTTTTTTTTATCATTGATTGAAAGTGGATAATTACAAAGTCGAGGTCAATGATCATGAGAAGAAATCATTTATACATATGTGTTTATTATTGCAAAAAATTGTTATCCAATTAAAAGTTAATAATATTTTGATTGCACGTATATTATTCATTCAATACATAAACTTGGTCAAGGTTAAGAAGATAAGAAATTATAGAAAGAATTAAGAAAGCTGATAATCAAATTTAAATAATAAAAAATAATATAATAAAATATTTTTTAATTATTAAATTTTAAAATTAATTTTTTTTCACAGCCTAAGGAACAAGAATTCAAACCCTTCCCAGAAGGTGTACGTGCAATTTCATTGGGACCATTTTCACTTCCAATTCAATTAAAAAATCTTTTGGAACATGGAAGTATGGAAGATAGATCGCCACGAGATGGTGAAAATTCTGAACAGCAACAAGAGGAAAATCATTCAGAAGAAATGGAAAGAAGTTTTCCAACTGCCGGTGATGTTCGTCGTATGATTCACCAGGTTAAAACAATTTTTTAAATTAAAATAAAAATTTAAAATAAAAAAAGTTAATTTAGATTATAAATAATAATAATAATAAATTTTAATAATTTAGTTTATTCGAATAATTTTTTTTACTAAAAAGAAAAGACGAAAAATACATTTTTCAACAATTTTTCTTTACATCCAAAACAATTATTCTGCAATAGAAATGTATTTTAAAAATATTTTTAAAGAATTCAAACAAAAATTATTTTAAAAAAGAAGATAAGAAGAAAGTTCGAGCAGATAATGTGAATTTCTTCTTTATTCTACTGTGAGAATATATGGTCCACGTATTTTTAACAATAAAAAAAATGAAAGCAACTATAAAGTTGAAAGCTTCAGTTATGATAAATAAATAATTTTTTTAAAATAAACTATTTCTTTAATAAATTAAAGAATATTATTCTGGACGTAAAGAAAATTATTCTGCATTTAAAGAAAATTTAAAAAAAGAAGAAATGTAAAAATTCTACTAAAAGAATTATATTGTTATAATTCTTATTTCTTATATTAATTATATTATAATTATATTTTTATAAACTAACTTTTTTTCACTTTATAAAAAAAAACTATTTTCTTGGAATGATGAAAAACTATTGTTTTATTAACAATTTAATTTATCAGGTTGTGGAAGGTCGTGCAATGCCAGTATCGAGAATTTCTCTACCTTTAAGGGCTGTTGAATCAATGGACATTCCTGTTCAAGCTAGAGCTATTGTAGCCGATAATCAAGGATCTGAACAACACGATGAACAACATAATCATGAACAACAAGAACAACATCGCCCAGAACATCCACTTCTTCAAGCACAACCACCACAGAAACTTCAACATGTTCAGGAAGAAAATCGTCCTCATTGTAAGTAAAATTTGTCCAAAAAAAGAATTTCTAATTAAATTTTTTTTTTTTTAATTCCATTAAAAATCCAAATGGAAGTTAAAACTTTTTGTTCATTGTTACTTTACAATTTCTATGAATTCTGATATATTTAAGTTATTTCTGTCACAAGAATGTTAAATTATTGTTTTATTAAAAACAATTTAAACAATAATATTTTTTTAAAATAAAATAATTTTCTTTTTCTTTTCAGATGTTCAACCACGATCAGTGCGTTCAATTCCTGATGAATTTACTGCTCATCCTCGTAACAAACGAATGCGCCGTTCATGTGATTGTGCTTGCAATTGTTAAAAGCAACGATTTTTTTTTTAAAAAAAGAAAAAAATATATAAATTTTCTTCCACGTAAAAGCAATTTTGTGCAAGAATTGTCGTTACTATTAGTCGCATTATTCAAAACATTGTCATATATATACCTTCGCTTTCTACTCTCACTAGTTTATCGTTTAAAAACTAAAAAGCATAAAAAAAAAACAAAAAATTGAGTGGATATATATTACAATAAAGTAAATCTTATTTAAAAAAAAAATTTTGCACTCTTTTTATATGCATTAACATATAAACAAAGAATAAAAAATACTAATTGATATGTGATCTGAAAATATAATCGAGGGGGGTAGTAAAAAAAAGTGATAAAAAAATGTGAAAAAAAGTGATATAAAAAAAGATGAAAGAGGCAGACGATAGGACTTGGCGAGAATGCTGTGATTCCTATATTTTATTAAAAAAAAAAAAACAAAGTTTATTGACTCTATACTACTGTTATGGAGATTTTTTTTTTTCGTCTGGATTATGTATATTAGCCATTTGGCATTATTACTTCTATAAATTTTATAATATTACGTATTAAAAAATATAAGTCGGAAATTCGTTATAAGCGGAAAAAAATGGTTTCAAAGAAAGGTTGAAGAAAATCAGTTACATTCATTATAATATATATATGTTCATAATAAAATAGTTGATAGATTTTTATTTTCAATTTCTGTGTTTCACTGATTCGTCTGTGTAATATTTTTGTTATATTTTTCAAGAAAAGTTAGTTCAATAAAATTATACGTTAATGGATAAGCGCTTTAAATTTCTTGATATCCTCTAATTTTTTAATTAAAAAGAATCTTACTTTTAATTAGTAAATTATATTTTTCTTAATTAAATATAATAAAATTAATACTTGCTTTTCAATTATATAATAGTAAAAATGAATTTACATTTATATTTTATCATTATATAATTGAAAATTAATATTTCACAATTTTTAAATTTAATATTTATTTTTTCAATTATTTTTTAATGGCATTTGTACTTCCTCATGGAAGTATTTATAATTTTTTATACATGTAATTTTGATAAATTCAATATGTAAAGATATTATTTAAATTCGAATTAAAAAATTATAAAAAAGTAATTCGATATTTTTTCTTTATAACAAGTGTGAGAAATAAATACTAGAACGCAAAAAGATTTTTGCGGAAGATTAGTGGAATATAATTGACCTAGGAAATGGAAAAGTAATTGAAGATTTTAAAAATGTTAGATCAATCGTGCATGATTATCATCAGTTTCAAGAAATGTAAAAAGTTTTCGAAACAAAATAAACGTATCGAGCTATACTTTCTTTTGCTTTCGCTCCTAGTTTAAATATCTCATATATACGTGTAAAGATTTGATGATACTGTCTTCAGTTTTCACGGTCTTGACCTCACTGTACATGTAATTAGAATAATTACCAACATCAATTTTTCTTCACTGACCTATAGCATCCAAACTAAAATTCTTTTCCCGATATTTATCTCCACAGATCATTAAACACAATATAATAATTACAAATACGCTAATTAAAATAAAATTTAATAATCTTTTTTCAATTTATATCCCACAATTAAAAAAAACAATAACTGAAAATAATCATTTCCTACTTGAAAATTAATAAATATAATTTTAATAATTATATTAAAATAAGAATTAAATTTTTTATAACAAAATTTCAATTGAAAAATATTACTATCATATTAGAAGTAATTGCTACTGAAATTAATGGAAAAAAATTACATAAGAATAAAAATTCACGCTTATTGTGCGAAACACTTAATAAAAGATCTCTAAAAGATCCTAAAAGGATTTTAAGTGTTGTATATTTTAGTCAATGAATGAACACAAAGTGTTATGCAAATTTTCTTCTACTTTGTGATTTATGTAGCAAACAAGTAAACGAGCCGAAACGCTCTAGGTGAATTTCAATATAACAAGTTGCGCGGATTCATCAGAGAAAGTTTTTTGCAAAAGATGCTAATTTTTCATGTACAATATATGCACTTATAGTCGACGAGATTTTTCGAAAAAATCAACTTCCGACTTAAAAATAGTGTAAAAGAAATTAGTAATGAAATTATGCTGAAATAATCTTTAAAGATTATTTTCCAATTTACACAAAGAAGCTGTGATCTCTTCTTATAAATTAGTCATGCAAATTATAATACAAATTTACATGATTACATTATAAGTTACGTGACTATTAATTTTATTAGTTAAATTCTAATTTACAAAAATATATATAAATTTCGAAAGGGAATTTTTATTTTTTTAGTAGGTTTTTTCTCAGTATGGCAAAATTATATAATAATAAAATGCTTGGTCTGTCCTTCTGTCCTAACTTGAAGTTGGCCTTTTTCTGATTTCACGTGTTTTTTTGAATAGTAATCTTATGACGTGTCAAATTTTGACAATTCTTTTTCTCATTTTTGCCAAAGTTGTACAATTGTGTTTCCAAATTTCGGAATAAGTTTCTTTAAAATTCCAAATTCGAAAATTCAATTCACGAAGCTGAAGTACACAACGTTTACCAACGAAATTTTTTTTAAAGTTGTATATTGATTCAAAAATTGTATACAAATACAAATTTCGTACAAGATAGTAATTTGAAAAAAATTTATTTTTAAAAATTAATTTTTAAGGTACCAGGGGCCAACGAATACCTATTAAATATTAATTATAAAAACACAGGCCTCGAATCAACTTAAAGACACAAAAAGTCGTTTTAGTCGATTTATATTCCAAAAAAAGTGGATTTGTTTTTTATTTTAACAAAAATATTTTACAGATTTTTAAATAAAAAATTTTTTTTTAAATAATAATCCTTTTCGAAGGGTTAAAGTTGAAATTTTTAGAAATAATTAAATTTCAAAAGATATTGTTAATTTTCAAACAATTATTAAATTTTACAGAACTAAAAATAATTTATCAAACAATTTTTGGAAAACATTTTTTAAATTTAATTGAATTTTCAAAGATTTAAAATTGAGATTTTTGAAATTAATTGAAACTTTAAGTGATTTTTAATTAAAATTTTAGATGATTTCACTAAAAATTTATTAAAAAATGCGGACAAAATAGAATAATTTGAAAATCATTTTTAATTGAAAAATGGTTTCAGATAGTTGAAATTTCAAAGAATATTATTAAAATAGTTAAAAATAATTGAATTTCATTAGAGTTATAATTGAAATTATTAAATTTCAAAAAAAAAATTTTCGATGGAAAATTTTAGAAATAATTTTAGATTTTAAATTTTAGATGCTTTTAAATTCAAATTATTGAAAACTCAATTAATTTTGAATTCAAATTTTTGAGAATAATTAAATTTTATTTGATTTTAAATTTGGAAAATAATTGAATTTCAGTTCATTTTGAATTGAAAATTTTGGGAAATAATTGAATTTGAATTGAAATTTTGGATAATAATTTAATTTAAGTTCATTTTTGATTGATTTGGATAATTAATTTTGAATAGAAAATTTAGAAAATAATTGAATTTTATTTCATTTTAAATTGAAAACTTGGTAAATAATTAAATTTTAAATTGAAAATTGTGGATAATTATTGGATTTTTAATTGATTTTGAATTAAAATTTCGGGTAATAATTGAATTTTAGTTTATTCTGAATTGAAATTTTTAAAAAATAATTCAATTTTATTATGATATTTTTTTTTAAATTATAAACAATTGTTAAATTTCATAAAAATTTTAATTGAAAAATAATTTTGATATAATTGAATTTGTGATGTATTTCATTAAAATTATTAAAAATAATTAATTTAGTGAAGAATCATTTTAATTCAAAATTTGTTAAATAATTGAATTGAAGAAGATCTGAAGAAGATCTACATTTTATACTAAAAAAAGGTATTTTATTTGCATTTTTTTTCAAATGTAAAAAAAAATGTCGCATTTTATTAAAATAAGTAGATAAAAGTCGTATTTTTGAAAAAAAGTCGGAAAAAGTCGTATAATCCGAGGCCTGTAAACGAATAATTTTCATTATTATCATTTAATATGTATAATAATATTGTAATAAATTAAATTATTATTGATAATATTAATCTTTAATTTCTTTATAACAAACAATTAAATACTCAATTTGGCGCGCTTGCGCGCGTTTAATTTTGCTAGTTAATAATAAAAGATACAAAAAAAAAATTACATTTGTCAAAGAAAATTCGAAATAAAAATTTATTTTCAATAAATATTTACTTCTGAGACGAATATATTTTTTCTTTGAATGTAATATGATGTAAGTGAGATAACAAATTTTTTTTCCGGAACATAAATTTAGTTTTTAATTTACATCTTTTAGTCGAATATTGCAAAATTCCCCTTCAAGGTATATATATAGTATATATTATAATAATAAGTAAAAAATTGACCACATTTTCTTGTCAGTCAAATTGTTATATGATTATAAATAACTTTCTTATGGTAATTTAAAGAAGAAGAAGAAGAGGAAAAAAGTCAATATCCTCGTGATCTTATACTGCACATGACATCATAGAATGCGGAAATAGGCAGTGAATTTTCTTTTACAGGTGAAAACACGTGTTTGCAACTTGCACTCGTGTCAAATGTGCATTGAAACTTTTTTTTAAAGATCTAGATCTTTGCTTCTCATTTTTTTTCCTTTTTTTTTATTCCACATGAATCCTCTCTTGTGTGGCATTATATATAACTACATATATACATATGTATATGTGTGGATTGAAATCGCATGATGTCTCCTTGTTTTCGTGTAATAGTATGTGCTCTGCGGGCATCAGAAATATTTTGCAACCATAATATATTCTCTCAAATTTCAAGACATGTCTTTTATTCTTATTTCACGAGACACACATAGTCCAACTCCAAATATATCAAATTCTCACTAAGTTGCATAAAACTAATTATAATATTATAAATAAACTTGGCAAAAAAATTTCAAATGTATGACAAAAAATGTTAAGTAAATAAATGATTTTTTAAAAATGATTTACTTTTTTTTCATCGCTAAATATGTTTCGAAATTATTTTCTAAAAAAAAATTGTTTTCTTTTCAAAATTATTATCCCGTTAATATATGTTGACTACCGTTACTTTTTTCCCTTCAAATAGAGATCAGACCCTACATGACTTTTCCATTATAAAATGGACATAGTGTTTGCACAAACCGTTAAAATATTCTAGGCTTTGTTCTCAATTCTATTGACACTTTCAAAACATTTCGATTTGTTTGCTCTTTGTTTTTTTTTAAATATTGAGTTTATATATATATGTAACAGTCAATTTTAAAGTAGTTTTAATAATTATTATTTACAAAAAAAATGTTTAAACACATTTTTTTTAAATATATATTTGATGATTGTAAATTTAAGTAAAAAATAAATAAAAATAAATGAAGATAAATAAAGTTAAGTTTAAATTATGTAGATATAATTTAAAACTCCATACTGATCAGGAAAATTTTATATACTTTATATCTTTGTGGAATTACCATAATCGTATACTTAATAAAAAATAGATTTAACGATCAAGTTTAATTTACCGTTTTAATGTCATAATATTTAAAATGCTGTTAAGAATTTTTCAATTAATATGCCAGATGATAAAATTGAAAAATTGCAATTTTTTTCTGTATTTTATTCTATCATGATAAAATTAAAAATATCTTTTCTAAAAATAATCTATCATTGAAAAAAAATATATATTAACTTTCAAGAAATTCTAAATATGAATTAGTGAAAAGTGAGCTACTAAAATTAGT